ATCCCATAGATCGAGCATAACTTCAGCCTATTAGCCTGATCTCACCGTCAAGCCGCTACCCCCTCCTTCCCAACTCGACAACTTCTTCTTTTGCCCTATTATTATTATTATTATTATTAAAACAGAAAAGAAAATTCTCTCTGCCATTATTAACGTTATGGCTCATTGTGCATAAAGGTATAAACTCCTTTCTCGTTTGCTTAAAAAATAGGTATCGAAGATCTATATTCGTCGTATCTTTGATCGAGACAGGAAAAGAATAAAAAAATATGAAGACTTGCGTCTGTTGTATATTTAATCTGGACAAGAGAAATTAATTATGTTAAGATCTCACACCATCTTATCTTATATTTAATTTGTCGACACCTCCTACAAAGGGGATGGAACATCGGGAGATTATTGAAATTTCAAATGACAAAAGATCCCCATATAAGTAATTTCAAATAAATTTTGTCATTTTAAATGATTTAATAAAAAATTAATTATCATTTCAATTGATTTAAATATATATATAATAAAAAGAGGGGAAAAAAAATACTATTCTTGGTTTTGAACATGTGTGCCTCATAAAGTTTCAAAAACAAGTTGCAAATCCCTTTGAGAATATTTCTAAGGTTGCCGCTAAAAATACAATACGATGATATATTCAATTCAAAGGAGATACAACTTCAAGCAAAACTACTTCTAGGGTTTCCAAGAATATGGAATGTTTTAGGAAATTCAGAAGATTGCATTGTTGACCAAACCAATAGAGAGAATGATGACTTACTTGATACAACCAAACCTCAAACCTATAGCGATGAGAGTGGGCAATTGAAGGTGGTAAAGTAGTAAAGACAGTTGAAGATAGCTACAAAGAGTGGTGGTAATGATTGAAGAGTTCAAAAGAATGAACCACGCATCAGTATAGAGAATAATTCTAATGAAACTATGAATATTGAGCTTGGAGGAAACAAAGAACAAAAATCTGATCTAGGAATAGCTTCTGAGAAAAATAATAATCCTGAACAGAGCACTAATGGAATTATATGCAATGATCAATTGTTAGCTAATAAGGACAAGAATTCTATTGAATCTCAACTAGAATAATTAGATAATGCAAACAACTCTAAGGAAACTATTGGAGATGAGCAACAACTTCAAAGTGAGAAGAATTCCAATCAAACAAACAGTGATTAACAACAACAATTTGATGATTTTAAGAATTTCGAGCAGGTTGAGAAATTTGATGATGGTGATGCTAAGGCTAAGAAAGATCAAGAGATATGGAATGTTATGTTTGCGTTGATAAAATTTATGTGCTGGAAAATGGTTGCGAAAAGGTGAGATGCCCTAAACGAAGTGGGTCTGGAAATATATAGAAAACTATCAAACAATACCTGTT